AAGAATAAGAAATATGTCTAGTGGTTTTTGTCAGGGCAAAGCATTGGGTACAGAATGAGACCACAACTACAAAGTGACCACTCAGGGAAATAGCAAAATAAGTTAGTCATCAAACTGGGCCATGCCTACATCTGCTTAATATTCTTATTTAGAATATAAAATTTGTTTTAAAACTATTGTAGTTAGGTCAACATATCTATTTTTTAAAGCAATTACTACTCAGGATGACTTTGATTTATTTAGTGTTAGGGACTGTTTTAAGTGCTTTATACCCATTGTATCTTAACCCTTAGAACCTCTCTATAGGTTATACATCCATTTTACAGATGACAGAATGGAGGCTCATAGATGTAACTCTGAGCTCTCACAGCTGACACTCAAACCCAGCTCTGTCGGAGATCAGGATTGCTTCTCTTTTAAGTGTGTTATATTGTAAATCAGATTTATTTTTCTCACAGTTTTAAAAAAATATATTTTGATTGATTTCAGAGAGGAAGGGAGAGAAAGAGAGATAGAAACATCAATTATGAGAGAGAATCATTGACTGGCTTCCTCCTGCATGCCCCACAGTGGGGATCGAGCCCGCAATCCGGCCATATTCCATGACTGGGAATCAAACTGTGATCTCCTGGTTCATGGGTCAGTGCTCAACCACTGAGCCCCACCAGCTGGGCCTCACAGTTTTTTTCTTAACTTTTTCCCTCAATTGAAAAAATATAAATAAAGTTGGGATTGTATTACAACTTACACATTTTCATAGAAAATATACCTTGTGTTTGTAAAGAAATTCTGGACTATGAAATAATTCCTATTTACAAAAGTGAGAAGGAAGAACAAGTTTCCTATAATGCTGCGATAAGATTCACATCTTGAGGCTCTGATTTATGTGACTGATGTATGTGAGTAGGCATCAGTTAGTTCAATAAAGCATGGTGGCTTCCCAGCTGGTCTCTCTTGATTAATGAAGCATGTATTTATGAAATCACAGTGCACTGTGTGACTTTGTGCACACACGTTTCTAATCTGCGGTTTAAAACGACCTAGTGCATTTGAATCAAAACCAAAATTGGCTTCCTTGCAAGAAATGTTCAGTTACTGAGATAGTCATGTGTTGCTTTAGAATAATTCTATAAATATTTTTAAAGCCATTAGAATGGTTGCAGTTGATATTTAACAATACAACTGATTCAAATAGTTATTAAGTCCACAGAAAATCTTTTCAACTTGTCTTACTTTGTCAGTATTTCTATTATTCTTACTTGGTCATATATTTCTGATTCTATTGTTTCAATTTATAAAAATAAAATTAGGAGAAATAAAAAAATTGCCATACATTTAATCAATGTTATAAAGGTACATATTTCTAATTTATTTTCTCTACAACTTGTCCAATTCTGAGATATATTCATTATTTTTGTTTCCTTTAATGTTTTCATGGAACATCCATTTATAGCTCATTCACTTATGCATTTATTTGTTTATTTGCAGCAGATTCAAATACAATATTATCTCCTTAAGAAATTCACAGTTGGTTGAGAAAGCAGACTTGTAAATAGGCATACAAATCCAGCCCTTTGCTGTACATGAACTATTTGTGGGGGTGAGGAAAAGCCCCACAGAGGTGGTGAGAAGTAGCTGTAACATTGGGAAAGGTTGCTGTGGGAGTTTTCAATTTCATGGTTTTGTCTGGACTCCCAAGTTAGGTGATAAGAATCTGGGGTAAAATCAGTTCTGATTAACATTTATTCCCCATTGTTTCTGCAGCTAGATACTGTTACAGCTCTCTATTGGCCTGTCATTCCCAATCTAATAAACAAGGTCACAGGAGAAATCCAGTGATGGTGGTTTAACCTGGTCAAGTTCTCTTTTCCTCACATCACCAAAAGCCCACACGAGGCCAGTCATGGTCCCGGCTCCTCCTGCCCTTCTCAGCGTGGCTTCCATCTGAATTGTGACCTCAAGATTAGGTAAGGAATTCTTCTCCATCTCCCGTTCCTGTCTTTGTTCACGGAAGGGATAAGAAGAAGTGAAATGTAGTGGCAAATCAGGAAGACAACACTTTCCAAAACTGCTCCTCTCATGTATCACCTGCTAAACTGTGTCAGGTAGTGAATGGAAATCTTGGTAGCATAAGCTTTTTTTAACTGACTATCTTGTTATCCACCTCCCCTACAAATAAATTTTTTTTCTGGGGAAGGCAGTGTGAAATGATACCAGGTAAGCAAATAGTAGAATTTACAGGGAAGACTTAATTTATAGAATGAAATTGGAATACACACACACACACACACACACACACACACACACAGAAAACAGCCCTCACTCATGGGTGCTAAGCTCCTTAAGATGTCAGCTTGCCAACAAATTATGAAAACTCCAAGGCTGAGTTTCTCCTCTTTTCCTCATGCTCCCATTACTTGTTATGAAATATGTAGTGTTAAGATGATGAAGATGTTTGTATACTTGTGTGTGTATGTATGTATGGTGTGTGTGAGAGAGACACACACATACACAGACAGACACACAGAGAGAAGCTATGGGGGCAATGTACTCTTTGAACTAAGATGGAGACACTGGATAGCTCTGTTCCCATGATACTGGTAGGTCCCACACAATCAACAAAGCATTTGAGAGCCAGACTCAGCAATAGGAACAGCAAGACACCTACTCCACTTCCTGAACCTGAGATAGTGGGGTTGTGTGGGAAAAGAGAGCCTTCATTTGAAGAGGCTTCAGATGAGACAGGTCTCCATACATAGCAACATTTTACTGATCAGTAACTCATAAACTTGGCAGTAATATTGATGTGGTCAAGCAAGAAGGCACAAGAACAGATCTGATCACCCTGAGAGAGGATAGGACCAGCGGGAGTCCCTTGGAGATATTATACCTTGAAAGGAGAGGAAAATAATAAAGGAAGGAATGTGGACATAGCATGGCCAACAAGACAGAAAAAATAATCTAGAAAAGTTGCTTTCTGGCAAATTCATTGTGAAGAAGAATTTGCTAAGAGGGTTAAAAATCTTCAGAGATTTCAAGTAGCACGAGTACTGGAAATAGACTGCTGTAACTCTTGCTAAAGATGCAAGGGAACCAGTTTGGAGGCAAGTAAATAATTTAGGTGGACACTGCAGGGATCTAGAGTATGACCATGGCCTGAATCAGGAAAGTGGCAGTTGAGAGGGAGAGGACTAGGTATATAGGTATATTATTAAAATCAAATCACAAGGAAGTGATGCTGAATTGGATATAGACTAGAAAAGGAGTTAAGGATGACTTCCAGGATTTTTTTTAGTAAACCATAAGACTGGTTGGCATTATTGAGATAAACAACAGAGAAAATCCATGGAGAGATGATGATTTCAGCTTCAAATATGTTGATGACATGTGTGTGGTATTTTCTAGCGTGCTGATGTGAATAAGTGTTGGAGACTCAGAAGAGGACTGGATCCAAATGTAGATAATGGGAGTCCTCTGAAAAGACAGATGATAATTGAAACCATGAGAATGGGTGACATTATCCAGAGAGATAACAGATTTACACGAGAACATACCCAATGTCATGGAGGGATTGGAGGGAAAAGAGACCACACCAAGGTGAGGGAGAAGAGGCTTGCGTGACAAAGAGGAAGATCAGAAAAGTGCTAAGAGAGGAGAAGAGGGTCTTTGGGTTGGTAATAATTAGAAAGAGGACTGAGAGAAGAGCTTATAGACTTGAAAAGTAAAAGGCATTTATTTTAAGAGACAGTCAGTCACGTTGGTGCATTAAAGGGAGTAGGTAGCAGATTAAATGGGCAGAGACAGTCACTTTGGTGCATTAAAGGGAGTAGGTAGCAGATTAAATGGGGCTCTTGGCTACAGAGACCTTTCAATCATTTGACCATGAAGGAGAGGAGCATGGTACCAACAAGGAAAATCACTGAAATAAACGTGAAGTTCAGTGGCATAAGTGAAATTTACCCAAGACTTTATGTGTTTCAAATATCCTGGGAACATCCAGACAAAAGGGCAAGTTCAACGAAAGGGGAGAGAGGATGGTTGCTAAGCCTATTCTCTGAGAAGATGGGGGAAGGCAGTCTCAGCAGCTTAGTTCACTTTCTACAGAATGGTCACCCTCTCTGCTGCGTCAGGAAAAAAGGAGAAAAGGATGGTGTTAAGTAAAAAGAGATGGCAAACATCTGATTCAGCTGAGAATAATCTTCCAAATTAAGAAGGGAAGAAGAAGAAAATAATTTAAAGACAGCAACTCCCTAACTTTCCAATACTGCTTTCATGCTCCTTATTTAGAAGGAGTATAGTGATTGTGTTTCTTCTGCCCCCTCTTTTTCTTTGGACATTCTGTGCTGTTAGTTTCACCCAGAGAAGCTTCTTTTTCTGTTGCCTCCCATCACTCTATCTATCAGAACACTTCCTGGCAGGGAAGTCTCTCCGTCTTTCTTCCCCGGGGAAAGGGGCCAGAGAGCTCTTGTCAGGGGTCCCGGAGACTGCCGCTCACAGTCCTGCCAGCATGACTGAAATCACAGCTTTTGACAGACAGTTTTTGCATCATGATTTGTATCCTCAAATATTTCATGACATATTTGTTTTCTTTTTTGGAGGGGCACAATCTAATAAAAATCAGATCAGACCAATGACACTTCCTTTTCTTTCTGTAATCTTAGCAGATAGACACCTTCTTTGGTCAGTTAATTTTATTTTTTTCTATTACTTTACAAGTTATGAGTATTGTTTTAGACAGTAAACAAACTTACAGATGAAGGGGTGGGTGTTTTCTCCCTTCTGCACTCACAGTACATAGTTTCAAATGGGCTGTATACAAGGCGTTGGAAAACTATCCTCAGTCAGGGAACACTGAAATGATTTCATTTTGGTTAGCTCGCTGTGATCCACAGAGGGTGTTGTGGTATTGGTTTTGATAAAACTTCACAACCAATGGGAATCTTTTTCGAGTTAGTGTGGAGTGGCCTTAAGGCTGGAAATAATCCTGTTGGCCAGGACCCCAGAGCCATACAGATGAGAAAGGGATGCAGGAAATTCTGTTGTTTACACGTGTCTGTAACACTGAGCCGCTAAAGCAGCCCAGCAAGCCCAGAGGGTAAGATGCTTAATAACCTTGTGGTTTTCTATTTAATTTTTATATTTTCCTGCTGGGGCAGAGCATGTGTTGTTCTCGGAGCAAAGGGAAGGACAGTTGCTTGTAAGATGCAGAATAAAACTACTGTAGGTCTGGGAAACAGAGGGACTTGGAGTTTCTGCTTAAAGTGGACTTGATTTCTTTCCTCCCTCTTCCATTTTCCCACCGTTGGTATTATGTACCCCGACATCTTATTGTACATTTCCTGTCTAAAAAGTAACTGTATACTAAACAAAACTCAGGTAAGAGTTTAAACTCTAAATTTAGACCATAATATGACATATTGACATTAAAACCCTGTTTTGTAGTTCCCAGTGGATATGAGTTAGTCAATGTGTTTGAAATAATCTATATTCTTAGAGGGGAAAAATAAATTTGTTATGTAAACCTTCATAATTTATGCTTCATGCACTTAGAGTTATTTTAATTTTGCTAGTCCTCCTGCTGAGCTCCTGTCATTGATAACAGAAAATAATTCAAACTTAGCACTAATATTGATTTCTTTATGTAAGTTACCTGGGTCGTGTGGAGGAAATAGGAACATAGAATAAAAGAATGAAACCCTGTACATTCTATAAAGGAAAGGGATGTTTAACTATATAGAAAATAATTATAGAACTGAAGGGGAAAGATCTCTGGAAACCATTGGGAAGTATTTGCTGGTGTTTGTTGCAAAAATAAATTATGAAATGACTGTAGAGTCAGTAAGTCTATTACATAGAAATAGAAGGGATATATTCTTAAACATGTAATTAGAAGCATGTAACACATGGCATTGAAATACACATGATATCTCTCTTGATAGTCTTCTTTACATCAACACCAGTTTTTCTATTTTCTAAAATCATGTAAATACACTTTTGCTAATATTTTTGTGGGATGGGGTATTGTTATAACTTTGATTAAATGTTTTGCTGTTAATCATTTTATTGTCAAATATACTCACATATACATGAAATATTTTTGAATTCTGACTTTTATCCATACTTTTACAAAAGCATTTGATTAAAGGCTAGTTATGCTAATATGTGTATGAGTTTTGTGATTTTGAAATATGATTTAAAATATCTGTGAATCTATTTGAATGATGTCTAAAATGCTTTATGTAAATTATTTTCCTTTTCAAAATGTCAACAAATAATTTTCTTATGAAATAACAGATCATGGAATGGTCTCTATTTTCCATTCTTCCTTTGTTTTCATTGGATTCAGTAACTGCTTGGTCACTGGAACAGAGTTCCTTGGTGCCTCATGATGGGTGTGACCTTGACATTTATGAGGGTTTTATCTAATTATTAGAGCCAAAAATGTGATGATAATAATTCTTTAAAGTTGAAAATGATCTCAGGCCACTTCTAGTTGGAGAAGTTTCCTATCTCTTTTGCTGGTATTACAAGGTCAATTGAAGTCTGCCAGGATGCCATAACCTTCCAAAATTCCCTCTACAGCAGATTTTAGAGAAACCTTAACGAAAAGTCCAGCTTTCTGTGCTGAGTCATGAGAAGTCAGTGGGACTTGGGTAATTACTGAAAAGAAAAATACTCTTTTGTTTTGTAAAAGTACTTGGAGCAGTGGGTTTGAGGCATGAATTAATATAAAGCAGGGAAGGGGTGGATGGATCATCCACCTCACTGGAGCATGAAAAAGTACACCTTTGTGAGTAGCAGACTTCGTGCTCAATAGATGGCAGAGTGGACAGAGCTGTGGAGCATCTAAAAATGCAGAGTAGCTTTGCCCTCTCTACAGTGGGGCAATTGCAAATTTCTGAAGAGATGGAGTCTTTGTTCCCCTGTTCTCCTCCTCCTCCTTCACTATCATCATTATTATCTTCTTCTTCATCACCACCTGCCAACACAGAGTGATGTTTAATACATACAAGATAATTTACATACATATCTGCAATTTTGAAAACTGTGCAGTAAAATGATCTTCATTTTACATATTATCTTCCTTTTCATAAAGGAGTCTGATGTTCAGAAATGTTAGATGATTTATTTAAAACCACAGAGAGAGTAAGTGCTGGAGACAGGATTCCAAGCAATGTCTTTCTGGCTCCAGAGCTATTTCTATTATGCTGCACTGGTATTTTAGGAATGTCAAGTCTGGCAGAAGTTAATCGGGATGGTTTGGAATGGGAGTCAGAGTAAGAAAGTGCAGGGAGGAGGGGGTTGAAACACAGGCCAAAGATCAACCCCAACACCTGCAAATCCACCCTAATCACAATTCTCTCAGGTGGTCCACTCTCCTTTGGGAGAAGAAAATAGAAACTGATACTGAAAATAAGCAGTTTTTACATGTAAAATTGGCTGATCCCATAATCAGCTCTTATGCTTTTTTAATTTTCTTGAATGTTGCATTCAAAGGATATCTTGAGATTTCTCAGAGGAAATATCATCACTGATTTTCATCAACTATTAGTTTTTCACAAATGAAATGCACGAGGTGACTGAAAATGACCCTGGGAACACTTTGGTTTTCTTTGTTTCTTTTTGATGTGTAATATGAATAAACGCTTAGTGACCACCCCTTCTTAAAATTATGGAAAGGCTCCATTATTATAAAAGTATCTCAAATTTTATTTCAATGGGTGAAGAGTATATATAAGATCTATGTTATTAATAGATAGTATGGTATATCCATAGTAAAAAGAATAGCACCTATTTATTCACTTTTCCCTCAGATATCCAAACCTTAAACATATTAAATTTACTTTTTTTTTCTAAACAGAATATAACTAGGATCTGGAATAGCATTCATTTCCTCTTTTATTCTTTTTCCCCCCAGTGTTTTCAATTAAACCACCTCATGTTATAATAATTTATTTTTGTGACTATGTAAATATTGGGCATTTATATGATATATAAAATGATATCTACACTGACATTGTAGAAATGTGCTGTCTACTCTTTTAGAAGCTTGCCATCATCTAAGTTTTACTGGAGTCATGTCTTTTTGCCATGCATCCAAACGATGAGGATAGTGAAAATGTAAAGATTCATCTTCTGAAAGTCATCAGTACTGAATCAGTAAGGACATTTCTCATTTTAAATACTTTGATCACTGACCTCATGACATTTTATTTTAATTAAGCAGGTCTAAGTTTTATTCTAAGATTGTATTTCATAGAGGGCCTTTTGTGTACCAGTGCCTGTCCTCAGTTTCCTGGCCAATTATAGGTGCTCAGTTGTGATTGATTGTGAGTGTGAGACCTTGTAAAAAGGAAAATTGGATGTTTTAGTGGAGGAAGTCAGCCCATCAAAGAGAATGTGGGTTGTGTTTAAGGTCATTCTGTTGAAGTCATAGCTCTGCAGATTATGGATTATTAATATTTTATATATTTAAAAAGTATATGAGTGGTTTATATTTAATGATATTTGCTAAGAATTGCTGTTATGTGTTGCAAAGATATGAAGATATTTGATGTTAAACTTCTGAGAGAAGTATTTTTTTTTTTTTTGGGTAGCTGGAATAAGAGATATCCTTAGTACTCAGTACAAAACATATGACCAGCCCTGGCCAGTGTGGCTCAATTGGTTGGGTGTCATCCCATGTACTGAAACATTGCTGGTTTGTTTCCTGGTCAGGGCACATGCCTTGGTTGGGGACTCGGTCACTGGTTTGGGGAGAACAGGAGGCAGTCAGTCTATGTCTCATTCTCACATTGATGATTCTCTTTCTTCCTCTCCCCCAAAATCAATTTTAAAATCTTTTTAAAAAAAATCAAACATATGACCATTGCAGAATAAATGGTATCTTATTGTAATGTTTGCCTTTAATTTGTAAAATTAAAACTTAAAAAAAATAGAAGTGAGTCCATTAGTCACTGGCCAGTGAGCATGTTTTTAGGCTGCAGTAACCCTTAAAAATGTCAGGTAAGGTAAAGTGGAAATATTTCAATGAAAAAGAGCCTGGGACAAATTTAGACTGTTTTTATGTAGAAATAATTTTGAGGAGTTTCCCTACAATCTTTCATTTCCTCCTTCAGTGAATTTAGGATTATGAAGGCATATGTTAAAAGTTGAATTTATGATGGTCTCAAGAGATTAAATGGATTTATTATTCAGCATTTACTTATGGATTCCTGTCTTCTTTTTCCTCAGCTTCTGGATGAGATGAAAATATAACTCATAAATGAAGAGTGAGAATTATAATTGTTTGGTGGAATAACACTTGGTGGGAAAGGAGAGGAGAGGGACATATGAAAGTGTCAGACAATCATGGAGTTTGATGTTCTGGAAGATTCTATCTGTAAGCTCTTCCTAATTAGGAGGTAGAGTAATCACAAGGATTTTCTAAGTGTTCATATATGCTTCTTGAACCTTCTTGTGGTCATAGTCAATGATGAGACTGAATTGCGCCCAAAATAAGCTCCTTAGGGTCTCTCTCATCATATTTCTGATGCTGCCCCAGTTTCTCTATTCTTTTGTTAATGACAAAGTTTAACTTATAAGACTTATGATTGTGTGCGTTGAAAACATTGGCTGTGGCAATGCCAGCATGTTACAAATGTATTCTAAAGATGTTGATGCTATATAAATGTACATCCTATCTTCTAAACTTTTTTTAAATTGATGTTTAGAGAGAGAGAAACATCAATGTGAGAGCAAAATATTGATTGGCTGCCTCCTGCATGCTCCCTACTGGGGATTGAGCCCACAACCTGGGCTTGTGCCAGAACTGGGAATCGAACTGACAACTTTTAGTTGCACAGGATGACGCCCAACCAACTGAGCCCCATGGGCCAGAGTTGTCTTCTAAGCTTTTGATGTGGGACTAAAATAAATTTGGTCTAATGGTGCAGATTGATGGGAGAAATTTAAGTATTTATGGAATTAAAGCAGGCTTCTCACAGAAAGCCAGGGCCTAACTCTAGCCAACAGCAAATTTCTGCTTCTAGATCTTACATTAGTATACTCACTTCAGGTGGGCATCACTGTCCACTCGTTGCTCTAAGTTGTATC